TAGAGAGGCAGCAGCCACGCGGTGTGAGGCGTTTGTATGGCCTGTGCATAGAGGAGAGAACAGGGATAGACAGACGCATAGTTGACAGGCTACAGAAAATGGCTACAATAATGCAAAAGAACACAGTAAAGACCTTAGGATTTATTCTCACTGAATGGAGTTATCAGGACACATTTTCAATTTACATAACATGTACATGCACTTTTCAATTTAAATTAGTGATGGGAACGTCACAAGCCGAGAGAGGGTTCAGTTGACATTCTTGCTTCGCAGCTCAAAAGTACCCCGTAGATGCCGCTAGCCAGGAGGCTAAGCAATGCAAACTATTCTACTAGCTAGCTACTAGGTAACGTTAAGCGAGCAACTCTTCATGCATCTACCATATTACACTTTTAAATAACGCAACAAATCGCAAGCATGTTCAGACAACTTAAGGGTTTATTTTCTTGTCTGTACACTCGTTACATTTGAGCTTCAAGACAAAAGCACAGAGTTCCTGCTAGTTAAAGCTAACAACATGTCTTCATCAAGTAACGTTAGCCTATCGAAAAATGAACACTTACCCCTCTAATACGAATATAAAGTACAGTAGGCCTACCTTCTCTCTTTAACTGCCATTTCCTGAAAGTCAGACTCCTCCCCAACGTCAACTAATTTTTCTCAGCCTCAGGAGCATCTGCATTCACCACATTTTGTGTGGTTATGCTTAGATGTATTCTCCAGACTTATGCATAGGGAATTGTTGATATGTTTTCCCAACAATTATATAGGTTACATTTTCTTCAAAGAAAAGTGCTAAAAATGCATTTTACTACCTTTCTTTAGTATTTTCACAGATAGAAAGATGAAAAAAGTATTTATCCGCAATCGACTATGTGTAAGACCGGCCCTGGGTTGTCTAAACAAAATAAAAATACAATGACAATATGACCTGATTAGAAAAACCTGGTCCCATCATAGCCTATATAAAACAGATTTATATCTATGTCATACCCAGAGTTTTACCTGGTTAGGTTAGCCTACCAATCATGAAAAACTCTGGGCCCCAGGAAAACAATTGGAATGGATTTACAACGGATTTGATCTGAAGTGCTTCTTGATTCTAGTCGAGCGTCCTAATTCGTTCTCCTGTGTGTTTAAAATGAGAAAAACATCCCAAAATGAACAGGCCCCCCTATAGTTTTACACTCTTTATTTACAGACCCAAAGAGACCCAAACAGAGAACGGCATGCACGCCTTCATTACATTAGAGGCAACTGAGCTCCAATATAAACCAGAGATTTGGCGTCTCCGTCCTCTCTGTGGCCTAGATACCAATTATATGGGAAATGAGAACGGTGGGCTTTGATGTGCTATAACAATAATCAATCTTAAAACAGTAGAAAGAAAGAGATTTTCTGCAGTATTTATTTGCACAACATTCTGAGTCTAGTCTATGGATGAAATCAATCCTCCATTTTGATTGATTCAGATTCAAAAACATAACAAATAATATTATATAAATATTTCCCCCTGGTCAAGATGGGTCAGTCCTTTTATTATTTTATGAAAGAATAAAATAGTTTAGAAAACAAAAGGCTGATTTGACATTGATGTTTCCATTGTGGTGAATTGTAGGCCATTGTTGAGGAGGACAATCTGTCGCTGTGTTGGCTCCTAGGAGTGTGTATGTTTGTGTCTGCACGTGCGTGTGTGTGTGCGTGCATGTGTGCGTGTGTGGCTCTCCTGTGTAGAGTTCATAGCAGGACAATAAACTCCTCCCGTGACCCCCTCCAACCTCTGGCATCCTCTTCTTCAGTCCTCCTGACCATGCACCTCTCCAGGGTCTCTTTTCTTCCTACTCACCCCCTCTCTCTCTCTGCCACTATTCCTCTCTTTCACCAGAGGAGCCAGGGCTATGAGCCAATGGCGTGGCTGGAGAATAGGAAAAGGGGGGAGGGGGAAGTTCAGTGTGTTAAAGACGGCTGCAACTCAGAAACGAATAGCTGCAACAGTCATGAGCTGGTTAGTTAGTAGGGTCACAGTAGAGTTATCTGTCAGGTGAGCTGGTTAGTTAGTAAGGTCACAGTAGAGTTATCTGTCAGGTGAGCTGGTTAGTTAGTAGGGTCACAGTAGAGTTATCTGTCAGGTGAGCTGGTTAGTTAGTAGGGTCACAGTAGAGTTATCTGTCAGGGAGCTGGTTAGTTAGTAAGGTCACAGTAGAGTTATCTGTCAGGTGAGCTGGTTAGTTAGTAAGGTCACAGTAGAGTTATCTGTCAGGTGAGCTGGTTAGTTAGTAAGGTCACAGTAGAGTTATCTGTCAGGTGAGCTGGTTAGTTAGTAAGGTCACAGTAGAGTTATCTGTCAGGTGAGCTGGTTAGTTAGTAAGGTCACAGTAGAGTTATCTGTCAGGTGAGCTGGTTAGTTAGTAAGGTCACAGTAGAGTTATCTGTCAGGTGAGCTGGTTAGTTAGTAGGGTCGCAGTATAGTTATTTGTCAGGTGAGCTGGTTAGTTAGTAAGGTCACAGTAGAGTTATCTGTCAGGTGAGCTGGTTAGTTAGTAGGGTCACAGTAGAGTTATCTGTCAGGTGAGCTGGTTAGTTAGTAGGGTCACAGTAGTTATCTGTCAGGTGAGCTGGTTAGTTAGTAAGGTCACAGTAGAGTTATCTGTCAGGTGAGCTGGTTAGTTAGTAGGGTCACAGTAGAGTTATCTGTCAGGTGAGCTGGTTAGTTAGTAAGGTCACAGTAGAGTTATCTGTCAGGTGAGCTGGTTAATTAGTCGGGTCACAGTAGAGTTATCTGTCAGGTGAGCTGGTTAGTTAGTAAGGTCACAGTAGAGTTATCTGTCAGGTGAGCTGGTTAGTTAGTAGGGTCACAGTAGAGTTATCTGTCAGGTGAGCTGGTTAGTTAGTAGGGTCACAGTAGAGTTATCTGTCAGGTGAGCTGGTTAGTTAGTAAGGTCACAGTAGAGTTATCTGTCAGGTGAGCTGGTTAGTTAGTAAGGTCACAGTAGAGTTATCTGTCAGGTGAGCTGGTTAGTTAGTAAGGTCACAGTAGAGTTATCTGTCAGGTGAGCTGGTTAGTTAGTAAGGTCACAGTAGAGTTATCTGTCAGGTAGGCTGTATAAAATGTAAGTATATTTTGTGAGATAACCAAAGAGAGAGAATTGAGTGATTGAACTCATTCGTTTTAATCCCATTTTGCCACGTGGCTCTGTTTTTAGAGGATTATGGGTAATTCAAAATGTTTAGACTTCATGATTATTTTACAGTGTTGTATGCATGTTTGAAGAAAGAAAAGTATACTTCTATGTTAGTATTCAGCAGCTTGTTGCTCCATGAGATGTAATGGATCATGATGAACAGATATTAAAACCGTCAGACAAAATGACGTTCAATGATGGGACGACTCGTTCCCACATTTCCATCTTCTGATGGTGGAGGCAAAAGAAAGGTGCAATGGTTTTTGCAAAACCTCTAGTTACTGTTGCCCAAAATGAGTTAAATGGCAAATGAATTTGCCAGATCCTGGCAACGTGGTGCACAACACTAGATTAAGTAGTATTGCAACACACCATGTAATGTTTCTGTCACAACTTCCTCCGAAGCTGCCTCCTCTCCTTGTTCGGTCAGGCTTCGGCGTTCGTCGTCACCAGCCTTCTAGCCACTGCCGCTCCTCTTCTCATCATTCCATTTGTTTTGTCTTGTTTCTTACACACACTTGGTTCATATCCCCTCATCAGTACCTGTATAAGTATTCCCTCTGCCCCCCATGTCTTTGTGTGTGATTGTTTCCATGTGGAGGTGTCGATAGTTCTGTGGAGCATCATGTACTTTATCGCCGGGATATTCACCCGTGTGTTTTGTTTTCCCCCTGTGCGCCGTTAAGTCGCACTGTAGTTGTTTTACGCATTGCTGCGAACCGCTGTATTGGCCGAATAAACCATTATTCTGGGATTTACGCCTCCTGCGCCTGACTCCGTCCAAATCACCCGCTACAGTTTCAGAACATCTCAGGACGATGTGTTCCAACACTCGAGCAAAGTTAAGGTTTCTTCTCCTTTGTGTTGGTGGCAGCTCAGTTGCCACTAGTTTTGGTGTTACAATGCACTTAATTGTAACAGTATGATTCTCTACTGCTTCTTCTTCATGTATGTGCTTCTTCTTCATGTATGTGAACTGTGGTGGATAGATATTGGTGTATCCTCATTATATCATTGAGACGTTTCTGGACACCTTCCTGCTCCCAATACACTCTTTAACAGAGTTATTCCAAGATGGCTGCCGCAGAGACCCATCTGTTTACTGGAGATGTAAACACAGAGACAGTTTAATGTTTCTGTTGTTGGACGGCCAGCACTAATCCCTGAACAGACACACTTCCCACATCTGGTTTTGTCATCGTTAAGAAAAGATCTTTGGCAGTAGATTTGTCCCTGTTTCCTGGTCTGACCGACTGCAACTTTGTGGACACTGCGTTTTTAAGTGTGATAAATTACATGAGCTATGTCATCCTATTTATCTCCTGTTTAGTGTTTCCTGCGTATTATTTCATTATATTAGATGAACATGTTTAACTGACCTCATTTGTGACTTTACATCGCTATAGAGCCGACTAACAGACCTGTAGGAGGAAGATGCAATTCCACCAGAGTTTCTTTCACCTGACTACACAATATGTGTACCAGACGCGCTCCAACGGTAAGAAACCTTGCCTGAGACCTGAAGACTTGTGTTAGTTGTCAGAGTGAATTATTAGCCTTTAGTTCAGTGGGCTAACACAGTTTTGTGGCATGCAGACAACCTGGCTTCGATAGCTGTCAACTTTCCGTTCAGTTGCGTGTTTCTCAAGTGCGTCGTTCTACCACAACAGTATCTGGGTAGTGAACGTGTTTGAAGGGCTTCGTGTGTGTTTCTCACTCTGTCCATAGGCCAAAAAAATAATAATAGGTCCGCACACAAAAAAATATGACTTCATTTTTTGTATTTTTTATTCTCTTTCACGGCCTCTCTGTTCCAGGGTGACGGCCCAGCGCAGTATGGAGGACGCTGAGGAGATAGAGCGAGAGCGGCGACGGAGAGCCAGGGAGAGACAGGGAGGCCACAGGCACCACACTGGCCCAGCCAGCCCCGCCAGCCCCACGCTGGACAACGGGCTCCTGGAGCCGTATCCAATGTAAGTCACAGAGCTGAACGGAAGGCAAACAGCCAAACACTTTCATGCTGTAAAATCCTGCAGTGGAACATGCTGCTCTGGTTGTCGTACACTGCGTTAGGGTGGGAGATGGCAGTGGAACATGCTGCTCTGGTTGTCGTACACTGCGTCAGGGTGGGAGATGGCAGTGGAACATGCTGCTCTGGTTATCGTACACTGCGTCATGGTGGGAGATGGCAGTGGAACATGCTGCTCTGGTTATCGTACACTGCGTTAGGGTGGGAGATGGCAGTGGAACATGCTGCTCTGGTTGTCGTACACTGCGTTAGGGTGGGAGATGAGCCATTACACACCAGTAGTCTTGTTGTCATCTGTTGCAGCGGAGTAGCTCAAGTCATGTTTGAAACGGATGATGTGAACCGCTTACTGTAGGTAGTCTGACTGATGTCTCACTGGTGCTGATTGGACTGTAGGGAAACAAGACAACGTTAGCTAGCGTTCTCTAATGAGGTGTTTTCATGTATCCTATCAGGGCTTATATGAACCTGGGCTGTGTCCCAAATGGCACCCTATTCCCTACGTAGTGCACTACTTTTGACCAGAGCCCTATGGGGAATAGGGTGCCATCTGGGATGCAGACTTCAGTCTGCTGTGCTGTTGCTTTTAGATGCCCTGTCAGCCACTGAGTCCTACCCAGGGGAAGGTATTGAGCTGATCACAAAATGAGTTAACATTGCTTATCTACTGTTAGGCCTTATAGGGTGTGTGTGTGTGTGTGTGTGTGTGTGTGTGTGTGTGTGTGTGTGTGTGTGTGTGTGTGTGTGTGTGTGTGTGTGTGTTCGTGTGTGTGTGTGTGTGTGTGTGTGTGTGTATGTGTGTATGTGTGTGTGTGTGTGTGTGTGTGTGTGTGTGTGTGTGTGTGTGTGTGTGTGTGTGTGTGTGTGTGTGTGTGTGTGTGTGTGTGTGAGTGTGCGTGCGTGCGTGTGTGTGAGCCTTGTTCCTCCACAACACAGGCCTATTGAATTGAACCAATGGTTGCATCTTTAAAGATCTGTGGTAGGTAAGGTTATTACTTCTTGTGTCCCTTGGTTACTCAAACCTTATGAGTAGTTGCTAGGAAATCTAAACGGTTCATTTTAGGCAAGTTGCTGAAACACGTGCAGGTGTTTGTGGTTTAGTCGATGACAAATGCTACAACAGGAAATAAACGGTCCTTCATCGAGTAGAAAAGCACTAGATGTATTTTTATTTTGACCAGAGATCTAACAACGCTACGCTCTTAGAAAGAAGGTTCCAGATGGGTTCGTCGGCTGTCCCCAGAGGAGAACCATGGGTTCGTCGGCTGTCCCCAGAGGAGAACCATTTTTCTTGTTCGAGGTAGAACCCTTTTTGGTTCCATATAGAAACGTCTGTGAAAAGGGTTTTACATGGAATCCAAAAGTGTTCTACCTGTAACCAAAAAGGTTCTACCTGGAACCAAAAGGGTTCTACCTGGAACTAAAAATGGTTCTTCCAAGGGTTCTCCTATGGGGACAGCCGAATAACCGTTTTAGGTTCTAGATAGCAACTTTTTTTCTAAAAGTGTAGCCTGCTTTGGCTTAGTATAGTGAGTGGTGATACATTTACATTTTAGTCATTTAGCAGACGCTCTTATCCAGAGCGACTTACAGTTAGTGAGTGCATACATTTTCATACTGGCCCCCCGTGGGAATCGAACCCACAACCCTGGCGTTGCAAGCGCCATGCTCTACCAACTGAGCTACACGGGGCCCGTATGTAGGTATCACAGCTATGTTATTACGCTACTTGTTAATGGGACTATGTTATTATTTTACTAGTTAATGTTATGTTATTATGCTACTTGTTAATGTTATTGTGTTATTACGCTACTAGTTAATGTTATGTTATTATGATAATTGTTAATGTCATTATCTTATTATGCTACTTGTTAATGTTATTATTTTATTATTTTATTATTTTACTTGTTAATGTTATTATGCTACTTGTTAATGTTATTATTCTACTTGTTAATGTTATTATGCTACTTGTTAATGTTATTATTTTATTATGCTACTTGTTAATGTTATTATGCTACTTTTTAATGTTATTATGCTACTTGTTAATGTTATTATGCTACTTGTTAATGTTATTATGCTACTTGTTAATGTTATTATGCTACTTGTTAATATTATTCTTCTATTTTTATGTGGCACATTAATAAATCAACCTAAACTGTTTTTTTGCCATGTTGCAACAATGAGAAATGGAGAACCGACAGAAGGCTACAGGAAGAGAGCATGGCTACGTCCCAATTGGAACCCTATTCCCTATGTAGTGCACTACTAGATAGGGCTCTGGTGAAAAGTAGTGCACTACATAGGGAATAGTGTGCCATTTGGGGCACAGCCAATATCTCGCTCAGAGGAAACAGGATGCAGCAGTAGCATTCGTTCCGTTGGCAGCGAGGTCGGTCAGTCAGTTTGTTTATGTTTCCATGGCCACCGTACGTGTGTGTCCCGTTCCCATGACGCCGAGCCAAAGGCCCTGAGATCTGGCTAACACCTGTCATCTGCTGGGCTAAATCCCTGGTATTGCCCCTGCCTGTCTGTTATACACACACACACACATACACACACACACACACACACATTGGGCAGCTGCAGATGTTTGGCTGTAAATACTCACTTTCTGAGACCCCTCTGTCTGTCTGTCTGTCCCCTGACCTACCTACAGTCCCTGAGACCCCTCTGTCTGTCTGTCTCAACCTCTCTACAGTACCTGAGACCCCTCTGTCTGTCTGTCTGTCTGTCTGTCTGTCTGTCTGTCTGTCTGTCTGTCTGTCTGTCTGTCTGTCTGTCTGTCTGTCTGTCTGTCTGTCTGTCTGTCTGTCTCAACCTCTCTACAGTACCTGAGACCCCTCTGTCTGTCTGTCTGTCTCAACCTCTCTACAGTACCTGAGACCCCTCTGTCTGTCTGTCTCAACCTCTCTACAGTACCTGAGACCCCTCTGTCTGTCTGTCTGTCTCCTGACCTCTCTACAGTACCTGAGACCCCTCTGTCTGTCTGTCTGTCTCCTGACCTCTCTACAGTACCTGAGACCCCTGTATTTTCCCCTGCCAGGCTGCTGTTAACACCCCATTGTTTCAACATTGTGCTGACTGCTAACAATATACAGAAGTAACTTCATTGTTTTCACAGTGGTTAGCAGCTAACACCTTTTAGCCACCTGGTGTTTTGGTGCCCTTGGGGTTGAGGCATACAGCTGGATATCCAATGGAACCCAGTATGAAGAAAATAGAATACTTCTAAAATCAGTTGTTTAAGAAGTTCATCTGCTCTGTAAAAGTAACTGCCTAACTCATTCATGAAACAGAGTAGTGGCTACTCAAACATCTCCAACGGTCAGTAGAACTCAAATCATAAAAGTGGTACTAACTCGGATGGCAATAACATTTCTTACCACTTAATGTTTTGGAGTACCTTTAACAAATATTAGGTTATAGACTAAATATAACTTTATTTCTGCTGATCTAAAGTTATTGAGTTTTTACAAGTTATGATTAATTAATATTTTAAAGTCAATCTAACATTTATTAAATAAGTTGTTCTTACTTGAGTCTGTTCTGTCTCTACTTAATAATAAAGCAGTAGTCAGACACATTGATATTTGAGTAAAAAACACTTGATCTATCTGTGTTGTGCTGATATAGAATTACAAGTTAGCAATACTTTTAGTTTTTAGAGGATTGTGGGCAGTGGTGGAAAAAGTACTCAATTGTCATACTTGAGTAAAAGTAAAGATACCTTTATAGAAAATAACTCAATTAAAAGTGAAAGTCACCCAGTAAAATACTACTTGAGTAAAAGTCTAAAAGTATTTGGTTTTAAATATACTTAAGTATCAGAAGTAAGTGTAATTGCTCAAATATACTTAAGTATCAAAAGTAAAAGTACAAGTATAAATCATTTCAAATTGCTTATATTAAGCAAACCAGACGGCACAATTGTCTTTTTTTATTCTTATTTACGTATAGCCAGGGGCCCACTCCAACACGTGTTTAGTGAGTCCTCCAGATCAGAGGCAATTCAATAATAAGACAATCCATTCCCACCATCAACAAGGTCATGTACACCACTCTTAATGACAGAGGCTAATGCAGCACCCTGTACTGCTTACAGCTCTACCTCTAGTTACTGTTAGAGGAATTACCACTGTGTTCAACAATGACTGGTTACAGCGCTCCCACCAGTTACTGTTAGAGGAATTACCACTGTGTTCAACAATGACTGGTTACAGCTCTACCTCTAGTTACTGTTAGAGGAATTACCACTGTGTTCAACAATGACTGGTTACAGCTCTACCTCTAGTTACTATTAGAGGAATTACCACTGTGTTCAACAATGACTGGTTACAGCTCTACCTCTAGTTACTGTTAGAGGAATTACCACTGTGTTCAACAATGACTGGTTACAGCGCTCCCACCAGTTACTGTTAGAGGAATTACCACTGTGTTCAACAATGACTGGTTACAGCTCTACCTCTAGTTACTGTTAGAGGAATTACCACTGTGTTCAACAATGACTGGTTACAGCTCTACCTCTAGTTACTGTTAGAGGAATTACCACTGTGTTCAACAATGACTGGTTACAGCGCTCCCACCAGTTACTGTTAGAGGAATTACCACTGTGTTCAACAATGACTGGTTACAGCTCTACCTCCAGTTACTATTAGAGGAATTACCACTGTGTTCAACAATGACTGGTTACAGCTCTACCTCCAGTTACTATTAGAGGAATTACCACTGTGTTCAACAATGACTGGTTACAGCTCCACCACCAGTTACTATTAGAGGAATTACCACTGTGTTCAACAATGACTGGTTACAGCTCCACCACCAGTTACTATTAGAGGAATTACCACTGTGTTCAACAATGACTGCTTACAGTGCTCCCACCAGTTACTGTTAGAGGAATTACCACTGTGTTCAACAATGACTGGTTACAGCGCTCCCACCAGTTACTGTTAGAGGAATTACCACTGTGTTCAACAATGACAGCTAAGGTGGGTTCAAATGACAAATCATCAAAAGCATAAAACAATATTAAACATTAAGACACGACCACTGAAAATTACTAATCAGAACTACTCACTACTTAAACTTGACAAAAATGAGTAATGAAGGTTAATCATTGAAGTAGAAGTGAACCTGCATTTTTATATTCACTACAACAAATATTCACGTTCAAGTAACTTCAATCATCATAGTTCAGAATACATAATGCAATTTAATGTGAAAGAGTGAATAAAACACAAAACAGTTAAGTATTTACAACTTCAAAAGATAACCATATGGGTGCTGATGTCACTTTATTACTTTAAGTATTGAACACTGATATACTTTGAGTTGGGTTACTCCGATGGATCTAGGCAACGGGTTTCCCCCCCCCCCCCCCCCCCCCCCCCCCCCAAAAAAAAAGAACAGTTGAATTAGAACATAATTTTGCTGAATTAGCTGGTTTTGCATTGTGCAGCCATTTGGTTTAATTATTTAAGGATGTATTGATTGTCTTTTTCAAGGGAGACCTGGCAATCTTTGGTCTGGCTAACCCTGACTCTTGAAGGAAATATTGAATACAGCACAATATTTCTATTGACAGTTGTGCAAGATCGATATCTGTTGAACAGCTGCGAACAGTTATGAATCACCGTGCCACCTTTTAGGTTTGACTTGTTATTAACAGTTCTACCTGTCTCAGGTGTGAGAGTGAGCTGAAGGCTAGTGGCTGCCAGTTGACTCTGGAGGAGGACGAGGGCTTCAGTGACTGGACCCAGAGGTTGGAAAAACGCAGACAGCGCCACCTGGAGGAACAGGAGTCCTGGGAGGACCATCAGCCTCAGCCCCAGCCCCAGCAGCAGTCCCAGCTGCTAAACGGAACCTCCACAACCAGGCCCTGCCTGAAGACACGTCCTGGGCCTGGGCCCGAGGAGGAGGAGGAGGAGGAGTGGGAACGAAGAGCCAGCAACAAGACACGAGATGCTTCAAGAAGAGCAACAGACAACAAGGTTGGGTTACGATTGTGTAAATGCAATGCTGTATCCAATCATCACTCAAGTCACAGTGTAGTCTTTATTCAGGGCAGGGCAAAGAGGGGAAGCTGTTGTTTGGGCTGTGACGATAAAACTTGACCGAACTTTAGATGAGTTGATGCCATTGACCTTTTTCTAACTTACCTGGGTTAAAAGCAAAAAACTAAAATTGAACCATAAAGTGTTGTTCTTTTAGCTACTATTTGTTGTTTTAGGTAGTGGAAAAGAAGAAATCTGAGTTGAAGATCTCCTACACCTCTAAAGTCATGAGACACGTCAACAGTAACGGGGAAGCAGCTGGAGCGGAAGTGACATCATACCTAGTTGCAGGAAAACTGTCCCCAAGGTAACAAACCTAAAATAGTCTACACGTGTGTCCAAAATGCTGCCACCTTAATCCCTATATAGAATCTCATCTGGGCAAAAGTAGTGCATTATGTAGGGATTAGGGTGCCATTTTGGATACACATTCAGACTGAGGCCAGATCTTACTACTGTAACCTACACATTCAATTTAAAGAGGAGGAGAACTCTACACAAATACTGAAGCTGTCTGAGTTTCATTTGTTATAGTTTCCTTAGTTTCAGTTTTAGCGTCCTGCTACAGATGGAGGATATTTTTAATCTGAGCCAGTTTGCTGCAGCAGGAAAATAATCCTGCAGCAACAGGACATTTGAATTATTATGTGGATTATTATTATTAATGGACATTTTTGTTTGGGGTTGTTCAATTTTTTCGTAAGGCAAAATCAAGTCTGAAATTTCAAAGTGGAAATTACAAACTTCAGAAGCCTTTTTAAACCTCTCAAATAGACTCCAAGTTTTAATTTGCCTGCATTGCAGGAAAGTTCTCCTGCAAAAGGGTGATCAAATGAAGATACTACATCTGTATGGGGATTACTTTTAGAGCGAGAACAATAACTTCTGTAAAGCATCTCTCAGTTCCTACTTCATTACTTCATACTGAGCTGAAAAAGAGGCATGACAAGATCAGTGACTCTCATCACTTCCTGTATTGGCTAGCTCAACATCCTTCCTTAAGTTAACCAAGCCTTTAGAGTGTTCTACCATAGGGTGTTGAGACACAGTTAGAGACACAGATAGAGATGGCTGAGACACAGATAGTCATGGCTGAGACACAGATAGTCATGGATGAGACACAGATAGTCATGGATGAGACACAGATAGTCATGGATGAGACACAGATAGTCATGGCTGAGACACAGAAAGAGATGGATGACACACCGAAAGACATGGCTGAGACACAGATAGTCATGGCTGAGACACAGATTGTCATGGCTGAGACACAGAAAGACATGGATGAGACACCGAAAGAGATGGATGACACACCGAAAGACATGGCTGAGACACAGATAGTCATGGCTGAGACACATATTGTCATGGCTGAGACACAGAAAGACATGGATGAGACACCGAAAGAGATGGATGACACACCGAAAGACATGGATGAGACACAGAAAGAGATGGATGACACACCGAAAGACATGGATGAGACACAGATAGTCATGGCTGAGACACAGATAGTCATGGCTGAGACACAGATAGTCATGGCTGAGACACAGAAAGACATGGATGAGACACAGAAAGAGATGGATGACACACCGAAAGACATGGATGAGACACATACTTCTTCCTTGTTTGTCACTGAAGAAGACAGGTAAACACAAACATTTCAATTGATAAGTTAAGAACTGTCCAAAGTGGTTTATCTTACTTTTATCTACAGCAGTGGAGTTATTAGAAGGTGTTACAATTGTAATGCAGTTTGATCATGGTGAGAGATGGAGTAGCTTCCTCTAACTGTTCCTCTAACCCTCTCCTCTCCTCTCCTCTCCTCTCCTCTCCTCTCCTCTCCTCTCCTCTCCTCTCCTCTCCTCTCCTCTCCTCTCCTCTCCTCTCCTCTCCTCTCCTCTCCTCTCCTCTCCTCTCCTCTCCTCTCCTCCCCTCCCTCTCCTCTCCTCTCCTCTCCTCTCCTCTCCTCTCCTCTCCTCTCCTCTCCTCCTCTCCTCTCCTCTCCTCCAGTTGCAGTGGCAGCTTGGGAGGGCAGAGACAGGAGGAGGTGGATGGAGAGGTTCCCGAGGGGCTGCTGGAGACAGAGAAGACGGCAGGCCAGGGAGAGGGCACCCTGGAACAGCAGGAGGACAAGGAGGAGATGGAGGAGTTGAACCGCAGGAGAGAGGAGAGACACAGGGCCAGGGAGGAAGAGGAGCAGCACCAGAGAGAGGAAGAGGAGGTGAGACCTGGGTCCATTATAACGAATTAACAGGGGCTACCAGTCAGATCCTTGATCAACACTCCTACTCTGAGACTGGTATGTACAGTATCTGTGTATGTATATGCATGTGTATGCATGTTGGTAACGCTTCCCTATGAATACCCTCTTCATAATGCATTGTAAGCACATTTATAACACCCTTGTGAGCTCTGCATAATGCATCATAATGCACAACATGCACAACAGAGGTCTGTTCAGCATCATGTATGTATGCGTGTGTTGTTGTAATGTGCAGGAGGAGAGGAAGAGGGTGAAAGAGGGGATGGAGAGGAGGAGGGTGTCGGCCACAGAGAGGAGGATGAAGAACCTCAGTATCTCCAGCATTGAGGGAGACGAGTCCTTCAGCCCCTTCAGTCCCATGAGCCCCACCTTCAAGGTACTGCCGATGTCCCCATATCATTTACCACCATACACATCACCTTCTCATTCCCCTATCACCTAATCACATGCCCACAATCACATGCTTTTTATTAGAACCAAAAAAGGGTTCAATGGATTTATCCTTATACAGTCCATTCGGAAAGTATTCAGACCCCTTTAATTTTTTCACATTTTGTTACATTACAGCCTTATTGTAAAATTGATTAAATAAAACATTTTCCTCATCAATCTACACACAATACTCCATAATAACACAGCGAAAACAGGTTTTTAGAGATGTTTGCAAATGCATAAAAAAAACAACAACTGAAAAATCACATTTACAGAAGTATTCAGACCCTTTACTCAGCACTTTGTTGCAGCACCTTTGGCAGAGATTACAGCATCGAGTCTTCTTGGGTATGACGCTACAAGCTTGGCACACCTGTATTTGGGGAGTTTCTCCCATTCTTCTCTGCAGATCCTCTCAAGCTCTGTCAGGTTGGATGGGGAGTGTCGCTGCACACCTATTTTCAGGTCTCTCCAGAGATGTTCGATTGGGTTCAAGTCTGGGCTCTGGCTGGGCCACTCAAGGACATTCAGAGACTTGTCCCGAAGCCACTCCTGCGTTGTCTTGGCTGTGTGTTTAAGGTCATTGTCCTGTTGGAAGGTGAAACCTTCACCTCATTTTGAGGTTCTGAGCGCTCTGGAGCAGGTTTTCACCAAGGATCTCTCTACTTTTCTCCGTTCATCTTTGCTTCGATCCTGACTAGTCTTCCAGTCCCTGCCACTGAAAAACATCCCCACAGCATGATGCTCCCACCATCATGCTTCACCATAGGGATGGTGCCAGGTTTCCTCCAGACGTGAAACTTGGTATTCATTCATTCAGGCCAAAGAGTTCAATCTTGGTTTCATCAGACCAGAGAGTCTTGTTAGGTGCCTTTTGGCAAACTCCAAGTGGGCTGTCATGTGCCTTTTACTGAGGAGTGGCTTCCGTCTGGCCACTCTACCATAAAGGCCTGATTGGTGGAGTGCTGCAGAGATGGTTGTCCTTCTGGAAGGTTCTCTTATCTCCACAGAGGAACTCTGGAGCTTTGTCAGAGTGACCATTGGGTTCTTGGTCACCTCCCTGACCAAGGCCCTTCTTCCCCAATTGCTCAGTTTGGCCAGGTGGCCAGCTCTAGGAAGAGTCTTGGTGGTTCCAAACTTCTTCCATTTAAGAATGATGGTACCTTTCCCCAGATCTGTGCCTCGACACAATCCTTTCTCAGTGCTCTACGGACAATTCCTTCGACCTCATGTCTTGGTTTTTGTTCTGCCATGCACTGTCAACTGTGGGACTTTATATAAACTTGTGTGCCTTTCCAAATCATGTCCAATCAATTGAATTTAACACAGGTGGACTCCAATCAAGTTGTAGAAACATCTCAAGGATGATCAATGGAAACAGGATGCACCTGAGCTAAATTTAGAGTCTCATAGCAAAGGGTCTGAATACTTACGTAAATAAGGTATTTCTGTTTTTGTTTTTTTTATAAATGTGCAAACATTTCTAGAAACCTGTTTTCACTTTGTCATTATTGGGTGTTGTGTGTAGATTGATGAGAAAAACGTTTTATTTCATACATTTTTAGAATAAGGCTGTAACGTAACAAAATGTGGAAAAAGTCAAGGGATCTGAAAACTTTCCGAATGCACTGTGTACATAGCCCCTAAAAAGAACATTCTAGGCTATATTCCACAGCATAACAGCCGCCTTTCTATTCACTCTGACATGCCGACTCATACAGGGTCACTGTTCTTGATGTAGAGTGTCTGTCGCTGTGTTCTGGTTCTATGCTTCGTGACGTTCAAGCAGAAACTCCTCCTTCTGTTTTACCCAGTAAGTTCTGTAAGTGCAGGGTGTTGGCGGTTTGTAACTGTGTTGGCTCCTGTGATGTGAAGTGAGAGTCCTGTATGGTCTGTGGTTCTACTCAGAGCCTGATATCAGTATGACTATTCACACTGGCTTCCTTTGGGTTCTATTTTGTCTTGGTTTAAGTTGTTTTTAGAACGTGTTGTTAACACTCCTCAGACAAAATGAACCATGACAGATTTGAAATAAACCTTGTAGTCTGAAGACACCTTTTGCTAACTGCTAAATATGAAATACTTTCAGAATCAACTCTTTTGATGAATGAAACAGTTTGTCTTCTCAACCCTCAATCTTATCGTAGAACACAAAAGACAATGTTGACTACAGGACCATTTCTCTATCTAGCTTTGCTCAATTGTTGTCATCATACCATCACACCAGCACATCATCACATCCTCAACACCATTACACCATTACACACTCACACCATCACGCACTCACCATCTTACCATCACACCCTCACACCATCACACACTCACACCATCACACACTCACACCATCACACCATCACACACTCACACCATCCTACCATCACACCATCACACCCTCACACCATCACACCATTACACCCCCTCTCCAACTCTTGCATGCCATGTTGACACATTCTATGTTTCCTCACCTCGCTGTTTTTTTAAGTGTGAAGAAATCACACTTTCTGTGTTGACAGCATCTAGACAGTTTTTAGGCTGTGTTCTAATGTCCACACCGGTATACCTCTTAGAATCCACACTCCCCAATACACTGCTTTATTCTAAGAAGTATGTTACCATGGATATTGGAACAGAGCCTTTGGGAGCGTCCCAAATGGCACCCTATTCCCTTTGTAGTGCACTACTTTAGACCAGGGTCCAATAGGGTGCCAGAATAGGGTGCCATTTGGTACATAGATTTTGTGTTGTGCTATGTGTGTAGCTGCATGTGGTTATCTAGCTTTCCTTAAACACTCCAACACTTCGTGGATCATCATGGGGTTAATTCATGTATTTTATGGGAAAGCACCCAACTTTCGTTCTGTCTCACAGCTAAACGACACTTACCACACACGTGCATTGCTCAACAGCAACCTTGCTAATGTGCCAACTGTTGAGTCATAACCAATGAAACGACTCGCTCAGTCAAATGTTTTTCTATGCTTCTGTTTAACCAGTAAAGCACTAGTAATACTCCTATTACAAGTAACAAACAAATATATTTTCCTCTAAAATCAATTGGACAAAACACAAACATTTGACAAACTATTGGGAAAATGTACAATTTCGACCGTCCAAACGCGTTCCTCTTGCTGTATGTATCTGTCTGATGAATAACCTTATTGATTATCACGATCATGTTTATTGACCATTGTTAGCGGCGTAAAAGCCATCTAAAGACATTGTCTGCAGCAGTGGTATTGGCTTGTGTCTTTCCTGCCATCAATGTGCTTCCCTGTGATGTGTGTCCTTACAGAATGACAAGGAGAACAGGATGACGGCTGAGAATACCTGCACGGTGAGGTTCAGTTTGAGACCAAGGTTCCAGAGGCCAAAAGTGTTTCAGAACATTTAATCCAGATCAAAATTATCCTGTGTTGTCTTAGATTCTGTCCCCCCCCATTCGATTCTGTTCCCTGTTTGCTTTTGTAACAAAACCGAAAGGCAATATTTCTAATAAATGTCAAGGAATGATCATCATGATATTTGTTGTTGTATATGATGCAGCATCATGGAGATCTGGTTCTATTTTGAAAAGTGAGGTGGTTCCTAATCTGAAGGGGGAACATAACATAACACAACACAGGATGATCATTTGATCTGGATTAAAGGTTCTGGAACATCGACCCCACGCAGGGGTCGTTCCAGGTTAAAGGTCACCATGGGGTTAACTGTGAAACACAAAGGTTCCGTTCTGTTGTGTTCTGTGTGGTCATAACGTGACACCTCCTGTCAGCTGTCTGTCTTTTTAATGTCGCTCTGTGCTTCATACAAACTCAGCTCTTGTTTCTAGCCTGGTCCCAGGTCGTTTTTTTGCTGTCTTGCCAAATATGGTCATTGTCATGCAACAATGACCATATGAGTTGTCAAGACAACCCAAACAGATCCGGTAGCAGGCTATCCTGTTTCACCTTCCCTCCAAACACCTTCTGAGGCCTTGTTACATCATCAACAGTAAAGACATACTTGAGCCATGGCATGTCGGTTATGTTGCAACTTTTCAACATTGGTCAACTTGTCCTTACAACTTATGTATGCATTGTCACTACAACAGCTATAACAGTATGTTAGCAGATCATCACTGTTTAACAGCGTCATTACGTGTCATAAAACCTTGACAGGCATTACAGTATCATACACTTCAACAGGTAGACTCAGTATCATGAGCATGACCTTAACAGGTGTCCATTACAGTATCACATCACTTAACAGTATCAGTATCAACACTTTAAAGGTCATTACAGTTCATACACCTTTAAAGGTCATTACGTATCATACACCTTAACAGGTTCAGTTTTACAGCTTGATCATACACACTTAACAGGTTCATTACAGTACATACACATTAACAGGTCATTACAGTATCATACCCTTTAACAGGTCATTACAGTATCATACACCTTTAACAGGTCATTACAGTATCATACACCTTTAACAGGTCAGTTACAGTATCATACACCTTTAACAGGTCATTACAGTATCATACCTTAACAGGTCATACAGTATCATACACCTTTAACAGGTCATTACAGTATCATACACCTTTAACAGGTCATACAGTATCATACAACCTTTAACAGGTCATTACAGTATCATACACCTTAACAGGTCATTACAGTATCATACACCTTAACAGGTCATTACAGTATCATACACCTTTAACAGGTCATTACAGTATCATACACCTTAACAGGTCATTACAGTATCATACACCTTAACAGGTCATTACAGTATCATACACCTTTAACAGGTCATGACAGTATCATACACCTTTAACAGGTCATTACAGTATCATACACCTTTAACAGGTCAGTACAGTATCATACACCTTTAACAGGTCATTACAGTATCATACACCTTTAACAGGTCATTACAGTATCATACACCTTTAACAGGTCATTACAGTATCATACACCTTTAACAGGTCATTACAGTATCATACACCTTTAACAGGTCATTACAGTATCATACACCTTTAACAGGTCATTACAGTATCATACACCTTTAACAGGTCATAAGTATACACTTAAAGGTATACATATCATACACCTTTAACAGGTCATTACAGTATCATACACCTTTAACAGGTCATTACAGTATCATACACCTTTAACAGGTCATTACAGTATCATACACCTTTAACAGGTCATTACAGTATCATACACCTTTAACAGGTCATTACAGTATCATACACCTTTAACAGGTCATTACAGTATCATACACCTTTAACAGGTCATTACAGTATCATACACCTTTAACAGGTCATTACAGTATCATACACCTTTAACAGGTCATTACAGTATCATACACCTTTAACAGGTCATTACAGTATCATACACCTTTAACAGGTCATTACAGTATCATACACCTTTAACAGGTCATTACAGTATCATACACCTTTAACAGGTCATTACAGTATCATACACCTTTAACAGGTCATTACAGTATCATACACCTTTAACAGGTCATTACAGTATCATACACCTTTAACAGGTCATTACAGTATCATACACCTTTAACAGGTCATTACAGTATCATACACATTTAACAGGTCATTACAGTATCATACACCTTTAACAGGTCATTACAGTATCATACACCTTTAACAGGTCATTACAGTATCATACACCTTTAACAGGTCATTACAGTATCATACACCTTTAACAGGTCATTACAGTATCATACACCTTTAACAGGTCATTACAGTATCATACACCTTTAACAGGTCATTACAGTATCATACACCTTTAACAGGTCATTACAGTATAAACCACAAACGGAATTGTAGGGCTACCGTAGATGTATCATGTAGGACCACTTTAGATTGATATTGTAGGACCACTGTATATTGGTAATCTAGGACCACTGTATATTGGTAATCTAGGACTACTGTATATTGGTAATCTAGGACTACTGTATATTGATAATGTAGGACTACTGTAGCTTGATAATGTAGGGCCACTGTAGATTGATAATGTAGGACTACTGTAGCTTGATAATGTAGGACCACTGTAGATTGATAATGTAGGACTACCGTAGATTGATAATGTAGGACCACTGTAGATTGATAATGTAGGACTACTGTATATTGATAATGTAGGGCCACTGTAGATCGATAATGTATGACTTTGTATATTGATCATGTATGACTACTATATATTGATAATGTAGGGCTACTGTAGGTGGATAATGTAGGACTACTGTAGATTGATAATGTATGACTACTGTAGGTGGATAATGTAGGACTACTGTAGATTGAAGTTGTTAGCTGTTATGCTAGGTAGCTTCAGCTATATTATCTCACAATACAAACCCAGTGTCCTTGTTCCCCTCCTCAGATCAACGAGAGGACTGAGTCTCTGAACCGCTCCCTGCAGAAAAGGTGAGTGAAAATATCTCAAGTGAAAACAGTTGACACGGTTGACTGTCATCATGAGCACACGTACTAAAATGAATCGGAAAGTAGACAAACTGTGGTCTAATTAAACAAATGAAGTACTTACTATGGCGGAAAAAACCCTGATAGCGAAATAGAAAAGCAGGGATTTGGCAGGTGGCACGCTCTGTCTCTCTCTCTGTCTCTTTATTGGATCCCCTCTTTGTCAGTGATGATTTATACACTATGTACTCAGTCAGACCAGATGTGTTTTCTCAGGTGGCTGCTGCTGAGATAGACAGGCTATATGCTTCCAGAGGAGCCTCGCGCTGAGATAGATTAGATATCTGATCCTATAGCAGCCTCGCGCTGAGATACATTCAATATCTGATCCTATAGCAGCCTCGCGCTGAGATAGATTAGATATCTGATCCTATAGCAGCCGTGTGGTGAGAAACATTAGATATCTGATCCTATAGCAGCCTCGCGCTGAGATACATTAGATATCTGATCCTATAGCAGCCGTGTGGTGAGAAAGATACATGCTAACACTCGTATAGCATCCTAGGCTGCTGGTGCGACAAGTACTCGCCTCATGGTGAGCTAGAGATAGTACGCTCATGTAGCAGCCACCAGGCTCCTTTCTGTCTGCAGCTGTTCATTACTGATGCTAACTGGCCACACCTCTACCCTGCCGTCCGCTGTGGGATATAAAAAACTGATTCATGGGGACCATCAGCAAAAAAATACAATATAAACAGTTGGGATAGCAGCTTTACATCAGACCTAGAAAAGCCATGAGGACTTTTATGGTGGGATAGCTTTAGCTAGGAGTCTGAGGGCGTTAAGACAGAGAATGGTGAGAGATAGCATTAGCTAGGAGTCTGAGGGCGTTAAGACAGAGAATGGTGAGGAATAGCATTAGCTAGGAGTCTGAGGGGCGTTAAGACAGATAATGGTGAGAGATAGCATTAGCTAGGAGTCTGAGGGCGTTAAGACAGAGAATGGTGAGGGATAGCATTAGCTAGGAGTCTGAGGTCCTTAAGAAATGACATCATCAGGTGAGCTGGTGTTTCACTTCCTCTGTTTCCCATCCTCCAGAGGACACACACACACACACACATAAACATGCACGCACGCACGCACGCACACACACACACACACACACACACCCACCCTTGTAAGAGGAAACATTGCGTGAGGATAAGATACCTTTTCATAAAATGTGAACATGATGGAACGCATCCTCAGAGAGTCAATGACATCATCGGAACTAATGGTAACCCAAACACCCTCCACACAAAGCATCTGTCACTGTCTCTGTTGGCAGAAGACACTGCTAATAACGGGTTGTTTCCAGTGTCACATTTATCAGGCCAAAATATTATGTTAAAGCAGATGGAAGACATCACTGTTTAGAGGAGCTCTCTAATATAGTCTGTGTTGATATGTGGTCTAGTCCGTTAGACATTTCCTGATATAGTCTGTGTTGATAGGTGGTCTAGTCCGTTAGACATTTCCTGATATAGTCTGTGTTGATAGGTGGTCTAGTCCGTTAGACATTTCCTGATATAGTCTGTGTTGATAGGTGGTCTAGTCCGTTAGACATTTCCTGATATAGTCTGTGTTGATAGGTGGTCTAGTCCGTTAGACATTTCCTGATATAGTCTATGTTGATAGGTGGTCTAGTCCGTTAGACATTTCCTGATATAGTCTGTGTTGATAGGTGGTCTAGTCCGTTAGACATTTCCTGATATAGTCTGTGTTGATAGGTGGTCTAGTCCGTTAGACATTTCCTTGTGAAAATAAACTTGACATTGAGAAGAGAAGATGTTCAGTTTAGACACACACACACCCTCATAGCAGAGATATAGCAACAGACAGTATTGCTGCACACAGATGTGTGTTTCAGTACGTTAAGAAAGTCGAGAAGTTGGTTGTGTGTGTGTGTGTCAGTATTCACAGAGATACAATTACATCACATCGAAAACCAGAGAGAGAGAGAGAGAGAGAGAGAGAGAGAGAGAGAGAGAGAGAGAGAGAGAGAGAGAGAGAGAGAGAGAGAAAAAAACACCTTTTAAGATGAAATACACAGAAAGCAAAGTATCAGAGAGCTCCTGGGCAGTGAGCTCCTGTTGAGACTAGAGACCTCCTGCTCTTCTGGCTGGGCAGTGAGCTCCTTTGCTATAGCCAATGTAATGGAGCTGGTTGGGTTAAACCACACTTGCGTGAAGCAAGCGTAATGCTTGTGGCACGCAGGAGGCCTGGGGTCAGACAAGTGTTGAAACGTTTTCGGTTGACTTGGAAGAAGGGTATTGGGAATATAAGTCTACTACCACTTTATATCACGCAGCTGTAACGTTACTGTATATTTAGAACATGTAGCCACACCCAAAATAGCCACCAAAGGAGTGTTTATTCATTAGATGTCTTAATTATTAGCTGTACCTTTATTTATCAATGACCTGCGGTAACAAAATATGCAACCCTAACCCTACCTCTGGGTACTATCAACCCTAACCCTACCTCAGGGTACTATCAACCCTAACCCTACCTCAGGGTACTATCAACCCTAACCCTACCTGAGGGTACTATCATCCCTAACCCTACCTCAGGGTACTATCAACTCTAACCCTACCTCAGGGTACTATCAACCCTAACCCTACCTCAGGGTACTATCAACCCTAACCCTAACCCACCTCAGGGTACTATCAACCCTAACCCTACCTCAGGGTACTATCAACCCTAACCCTAACCCTACCTCATGGTACTATCAACTCTAACCCTACCTCAGGGTACTATTAACCCTAACCCTACCTCAGGGTACTATCAACCCTAACCCTAACCCACCTCAGGGTACTATCAACCCTAACCCTACCTCAGGGTACTATCAACCCTAACCCTAACCCACCTCAGGGTACTATCAACCCTAACCCTACCTCAGGGTACTATCAACCCTAACCCTAACCCTACCTCAGGGTACTATCAACTCTAAACCTACCTCAGGGTACTATCAACCCTAACCCTACCTCAGGGTACTATCAACCCTAACCCTACCTCAGGGTAGTATCAACTCTAACCCTACCTCAGGGTACTATCAACCCTAACCCTACCTCAGGGTAGTATCAACCCTAACCCTACCTCAGGGTACTATCAACCCTAACCCTACCTCAGGGTACTATCAACCCTAACCCTACCTCAGTGTACTATCAACCCTAACCCTACCTCAGGGTACTATCAACTCTAACCCTACCTCAGGGTACTATCAACTCTAACCCTACCTCAGGGTACTATCAACCCTAACCCTACCTCAGGGTACTATCAACCCTAACCCTACCTCAGGGTACTATCAACCCTAACCCTAACCCTACCTCAGGGTACTATCAACCCTAACCCTACCTCAGGGTACTATCAACCCTAACCCTACCTCAGGGTACTATCAACCCTAACCCTACCTCAGGGTACTATCAACCCTAACCCTAACCCTACCTCAGGGTACTATCAACCCTAACCCACCTGAGGGTACTATCAACCCTAACCCTACCTCAGGGTACTATCAACCCTAACCCACCTCAGGGTACTATCAACCCTAACCCTAACTCAGGGTACTATCAACCCTAACCCTACCTCAAGGTACTATCAACCCTACCTCAGGGTACAATCAACCCTAACCCTAACCCTACCTCATAGTCCTATCAACCCTAACCCTACCTCAGAGTATTATGAAAGAGTGATGTTCATGGAAGGATATATCTTGTTTTAAAACAGTAACAGCATCAAGAAGACCCAGGCTCCCATCCCTATCTCCAGGATCGACAACAGACTGGAACAGTACACTCATGCCATTGAGGTATACTATACTTTACTGTACCTTACTATACTTTATATGCTTTACTATGCTTTACTCTGCCTTACCTGTACTGACCTCGACCTCGCCTTCTGGATGATAGCGGGGTGAACAGGCAGTGGCTCGGGTGGTTGATGTCCTTGATGATCTTTTTGGCCTTCCTGTGACATCGGGTGCTGTATGTGTCTTGGAAGGTGGGTAGTTTGCCCCCGATAATGCGTTCGGCATACCGCACCACCCTCTGGATAGCCCTGCGGTTGCGGGTGGTGCAGTTGCCATACCAGGTGGTGATACAGCCCGACAGGATGCTCTCAATTGTGCATCTGTAAAAGTTTGTGATGGTTTTAGGTGCCAAGACGAATTTCCTGAGGTTGAAGAGGCTCTGTTGTGCCTTCTTCACCACACTGTCTGCGTTGGTGGACCATTTCAGTTTGTCGGTGATGTGTACTACACTGTTTGTATTCTGCCATATTCCCAGTCACCTTGCCATGGTTGAATGCGGTGGTTCGCGCTTTCAGATTGGCACGAATGCTGCCATCTATCCACGGTTTCTGGTTAGGCCAGTGTTGCCAACTCCTCAGTAAGGAGAGTAGCTATTGGCTGTCCTAAAAGTCGCTAGAAGTCGCTAAATGACATCATCACCTAATTTGCATAATTGTCAGTGTGCATGTAATTGTGATGGACGCTGTAGGAGAGAGGAATAACGCTGTAGGAGAGAGGAATAACGCTGTAGGAGAGAGGAATAACGCTGTAGGAGAGAGGAATAACGCTGTAGGAGAGAGGAATAACGCTGTTGGAGAGAGGAATAACGCTGTAGTAGAGAGGAATAACGCTGTAGGAGAGAGGAATAACGCTGTAGGAGAGAGGAATAACGCTGTAGGAGAGAGGAATAACGCTGTAGGAGAGAGGAATAACGCTGTAGGAGAGAGGAATAAAGCTGTAGGAGAGACAAAAAGGGAGTAAAAAACACCCTAAATATGTTTAGAACTACAAATGAACGTTCTTCTGTCGATTCTAGTTTAATTTTTTTCATCCCGCCCTGAATGTAAGCCAGGGCGGGATCAGCCAGGGCGGGATCAATCAGGGCGGGATCAGCCAGCGGCGGGATCAGCCAGGGCGGGATCAGCCAGCGGCGGCTTCCTGCATGCGCGATTCATTTGCAGTCTGGACACAGAGGGGTGAACATCTCCTGCAGCTGGGAGGGACTGCTGCGCGAGGACTGGGCTTCCTGTGAGTGCTTTGGGATGGGGGTGGGGCCCCACGGCAGCACCCGCTGCTCGTTGAGAAGAGTAAGAATGATACGTGCTTTCACATCAGAGTCTCCAAAAGTCTCCAATAACACCAGAAAAAGTCGCTAGATTTGTCGCTAGTCGCTAAGTTGGCAACACTGGGTTAGGGTAGGTTTTAATAGTCACAGTGGGCACAACATCACCTATTCACTTCCTGATAAACTCAGTCACCGTTGATGATACAAAACACTTTCTGCGCTAATAATGCATAAAATAATAAATAAAAAAACAAAATACTGCAAAGTTTCCTAAGAGCTAGTCGCGAGGCCGCCATCTTCGTCGGCGCCAGAATCACAGTACTGTAATATACTACACTATACGATACGATACGATACGATACTATACTGTACTGTACTATACTATACTATACTATACTATACTATACTATACTGTACTGTACTGTACTGTACTGTACTATACTATACTATACTATACTATACTATACTATACTATACTACACTGTACTACACTGTACTATACTGTACTATACTATACTGTACTATACTATACTATACTATACTGTAGTATACTGTACTATACTATACTGTACTATACTGTACTATACTGTACTATACTGTACTGTACTATACTATACTATACTATACTATACTGTACTATACTATACTATACTATACTATAATGTACTATACTATACTATACTATACTGTACTATACTATACTATACTATACTGTACTGTACTGTACTATACTGTACTATACTATACTATACTATACTATACTGTACTATACTGTACTATACTATAATATACTGTACTATACCATACTGTACTATACTATACTATACTATACTATACTATACTATACTATACTGTACTGTACTGTACTATACTGTACTATACTGTACTATACTGTACTATACTGTACTGTACTGTACTATACTATACTGTACTATACTGTACTATACTATACTATACTGTACTATACTGTACTATACTATACTGTACTATACTGTACTATACTATACTGTACTATTGTTCCCGGAGTTGGTTAACACTGTACTGTACTAATATACTGCTATTTTACATCCACTGAGCTTTCATCCCCTGTATGACTGATAACATTTCAAGATACTCCTTTATTCAGATTAACTTAAACCATAACGCAGGAGTGGCCAAGCCTCCCCCCGAACAGAGAGAATCTGTCTATGCAGGCTTTTGCTTTAACCCTGTTTAACAACACAGTGTAAGCAATACAGTCCCGGACAGTAAAAGGAAGTTAACTGTCACGTCTCATCTTTCCAGACGTCCTCTAAGGAAGCCCAGGCGGCCAAGCAGCAGGTTCTGTTGGACCTGCCCAGCCCCACTGAGCCTGTGGCCTCCAAGAAGAACCTGTTTGAGGCCGGGGAAGCTTGGAGCCAGACCCCCAGGGAGACACCTTCCAAGGTAGGGAAAGATTACATACGGACATCCATTGTCTTTGAGCAGGGGCTGGATATCCAAACATATTCATCCAAACATATTCAGCACCCCAGTATCTCTATTTGCACATAATCTCTTGCACATCTAGCATTCCAGTGTTAATACTAATTGTAACTATTCTGCACTATAGCCTATTTATTGCCTTACCTCCATAACTTGCTACATTTGCACACACTGTATATAAATTTTCTGTTGTATTTTTTTTGACTTTATGTTTTGTTTACCCCATATGTAACTCTGTGTTGTTGTTGTTTTTATCGCACTGCTTTATCTTGGCCAGGTCGCAGTTGTAAATGAGAACTTGTTCTCAACTGGCTTACCTGGTTAAATAAAGGTGAAATAAATAAAATAAATAAAAAAATAAAGAGACTCTGCATACTGCAATATGCTCTCATTGGTGACAGACTTTTGACCACTTAGGGAGTACTATCCAAGGTATGAAGGCATTGGTGGGCCTCTCCTCCATTTTAGTGAACTCAATCATCAAATTAATCATAACACAGAGGTAGTGTTTATACCTTACCTTATTAGGTTTATTTGACAGGGAAAATGTGCAATGCTCAACATTTCTGTAAAGCTGCCAGATTTGGCAAGTTGGTTCATTTTTTTTCTGTAGTCCATAAATCAATGACTTAATGGAAAATGTTGCGCACCTTTTGGAATAGGGAATAGGGTGCCATTTGTTATGTGAATGCACGACTTCATCATGATTCATCATCTGTGTTTCTCAGGATACAGAGGGTCTGAATGTAGGCGTGGCCGACCTCATCCACCAATGGGTGAAAGGGAACCCAGATGGAAGCAGCAAAAGCCTCTCCAAGCCAGCAGTGAGTAACAACAGACACCTGTCTCTCCCAATTCTCTCAGAGCTACTCACGATGACTTCGTTACGTCAATACGACAAGTCGACCACAGTTACGACTCAGTTACGACTCACACTAAATATCTATCCAAACGTTGAATGAATCAACTATTGGATCTACGTCAGGAGTGGCCAACCATCCTCCTGATGGCTAAGGGGTATGCAGGCTTTTGCTCCAACCCTGCTCTAACACTCCTGATTCAGCTAGTCAGGGTTCTGATTGGAAGCTTATTTTCTGGATCTGGTGTGTTAGAGCAGGGTTGGAGTAAAAGCCTGCACACCCACTAGTCCTCTGGGACAACTACTTGTTACTCTACTGATCTATCATATTCATGTACTTGAAGTGAAACTTAACTCAGCTCACTGATTTGTTAAGCTTGACGATTCTACTCCTGCACCATCCCCTCTTCTCCTTCTCAGTTCTCCTTTCAGCTCTCTTCCTACATCTCTGGTACATTCTAATCTGTCTCCTCTTCTCCTTCTCAGTTCTCCTTTCAGCTCTCTTCCGACATCTCTGGTACATTCTAATCTGTCTCCTCTTCTCCTTCTCAGTTCTCCTTTCAACTGTCTTCCTACATCTCTGGTACATTCTAATCTGTCTCTTCTTCAAGGTAACTGTTCTCTGTTTCCCCTCTTTCCTTTCTCTATGGAAATGGACCTTAACCTTTCCTTCATATCTAACATATATGTGAATATATTACAACCCTATGGCTTTCTCATCAGTCAGAATTAACATATATGTGAATATATTACAACCCCTATGGCTTTATCATCAGTTATATCTAACACACAACCCTATTTTTATTTCATTAGGATCCCCATTAGCCAACACCAATGTCGACAGCTAGTCTTACTGGGGTCCGACACATAACGAAAAGACATTACAGACAAAATACTTTACAGTTTACATACATTTAAAAACATTAACATGTATTGTTTGTGTGCATCTATCAGTTACACATAGATGTCAGTACATACACTCAACAAGTGTGGCTTTATCATCAGTCAGAATTAACATATATGTGAATATATTACAACCCTATGGCTTTCTCATCAGTTATATCTAACATATATGTGAATATATTACAACCCTATGGCTTTAATGTCAGTCTCATATGTGGGCCTACTTTATCAAAGTCAAGTCAGACAGGTCTTGTCATATATATCCTGTCTGGTGATTCTAATGTTTCTATGGAACGCTGCCCCCTTGTGGAGGATGTTAGTATAACAGTAATAATCAAACCCCTCCTCTCTCTCCTGATTGGTACAGTAGCATCTGTATCTACTTTCATGACACAATATTATCTGTGGTAGCTTGCAAAATATTTATTCCTCTATCTATTCGTGTTCATATTTTTTGACTATATATTTTTATTATTGCCATCATAAAGCACAAGAGTGACAGAAGGGTATAAACGTGCTGATGTGTGTGTTTCTTCTCTAGTGATTAATGTGCTGATGTTGTGTACTGTGTGTTTCTTCTCTAGTGATTCATGTGCTGATGTTGTGTACTGTGTGTTTCTTCTCTAATGATTCATGTGTGTTTGTTCTTGCCAGGAGGTGAATGCTGGTGATGTTCTGAGCAAGAAGAACCTCTGGGAGAATCTAGGAGACTCTTCGCCATCTGGGAGAGTTGGGAAGGTAGTGTAGGCTTAAATCTAATGAACCAATCCCTTCATTCATTTGACTATATCATATATCTGTATATGAGGTCTGTTATTCAGTCGGTGGATTATATTCAAAACAAGTAGCTGTCAGCACACTGTACGTAACTTTTGAATATAATTGGTACTTAAAAGTATAAATGTAAGTTATAAATGCTGGCATTTGTACAAACTGAAAATATAATACCATTTTCATAGGGAGCCTCTGGTAAAAAGTACAAATTTGTGATGATGGCTCACGGCAAGTATGAGAAGGTTGCCGTCGGTGATGATGAGAACAACGACCACACAAACAGGAAATCAAGTAAGACTCAGCCTCATCCCATATTTACTTTATTAAGATAAAACACAAATGTCAGCTGTGGATGTGTTGTTGTTGTGGGCTTTGTGTAAAAACAATCCCATTCATCTGTTAGTCATGTATCACAGTAATGTCTGTCCAGGAGAGAGAGAGGTCTGTTAGTCATGTATCACAGTAATGTCTGTCCAGGAGAGAGAGAGGTCTGTTAGTCATGTATCACAGTAATGTCTGTCCAGGAGAGAGAGAGGTCTGTTAGTCATGTATCACAGTAATGTCTGTCCAGGAGAGAGAGAGGTCTGTTAGTCATGTATCACAGTAATGTCTGTCTGTTAGTTGCAATGCTATGGTATTTACTAGTTCCTTAGCAGTCACGCCGTGGCATACAACCAAGTGAGTGGGATTCTCTTCTACCATAGGACAGTACTAGATCTTAGACTACCAATACTAGATCTTAGACTACCAGTACTAGATCTTAGTCTACCAGTACTAGATCTTAGACTACCGGTACTAGATCTTAGACTACCAGTACTAGATCTTAGACTACCAGTACTAGATCTTAGACCATCGGTCATCTCTCGATCAACTAGGAACTCGTGTGTCACAAACCATATCAATAATGGTACATTACTAAATAAAAACAATAGGAGAATGATACAACAGCTTAGCATTTACTTCAATGTAGACAATGAGCAATCATTTAGTTAATCACACGATAGACAACAGCATTCTATACTGGACACGTCTATACAAAATAATGTCCCGTATATACAATCAATACAGGTTTTCCCTTCTTCAGTATATGCCTTTTGAACCCGGCACCACAATAATTTATATTACTGCAAACTTTTGAGTCGAGCACGCCAAATTCTTCATTCTATATGAACAAGTCTAAAGCAGCAGTATGGTTATGGTTGGCTCATGGGGATACACCCTTGTTATTTATCAAGAAACATTTAATTTAATTAAACAAAGACCTGAGAAGCATCAGATAGCTACAACAAAAATAGATATGTTAAATAAAAAAATCTTAATTCCTAAATTTATGCCACAATTCTCAAAAGTTCCTTACAGAAGAATAAACCTTTTAAGGCTTTAAAAAATCATGCTCATTCGATCTATTCCATCAACAAAATTATCAAAAGCTTATTTGAAAACACCAACTGCGTCTTTATCAATAACGAATTCACTTTCGGTGTCACTTATTCAATTGATCATAAAACATGTCCCTTCTGATTCCTGCATGTCTTCCTGTATCACAAAGACCCTTCCTGTAGTTTATTGCCTGTCTTCCTGTATCATGAAGACCCTTCCTGTAGTTTATTGCCTGTCTTCCTGTATCATGAAGACCCTTCCTGTAGTTTATTGCCTGTCTTCCTGTATCATGAAGACCCTTCCTGTAGTTTATTGCCTGTCTTCCTGTATCATGAAGACCCTTCCTGTAGTTTATTGCCTGTCTTCCTATATCATGAAGACCCTTCCTGTAGTTTATTGCCTGTCTTCCTGTATCATGAAGACCCTTCCTGTAGTTTATTGCCTGTCTTCCTGTATCATGAAGACCCTTCCTGTAGTTTATTGCCTGTCTTCCTGTATCATGAAGACCCTTCCTGTAGTTTATTGCCTGTCTTCCTGTATCACAAAGACCCTTCCTGTAGTTTATTGCCTGAGGCACCTTTATCTTACATCCCTTCATTCTTATCCGTTCTGCACCATTGAAGACTTCATCATGAAGCGATCCATATCCTGTCATCATGTCCCGTAAGGATCCATGTCCATCTCGTGTCTGTCTTCCTTGTCTACTGCTCCAACGTATCTAAAACTCCATCCTCTTTTACACAATATTAATACCTTCCATTTGCTATTTCAATATATTTTCAATGAACCTGCAAACTGAAAATGAATTTCAAACCAACTTTTATGTGTTGTCATTTCCAGTAGGGCCTACATATCCTTCTTCTGCCTTCTATTTAAGCCACAGCTTCTCAGACTCCCTGTATGTCAGATCCATCTTCTGCAGCTGTGCCCCTTCCATAGCTCCACTATAGAGTTATAAACACTAGAGGGAAAACGTCATCTCTTTTCCATTGACTTTAAAAACGGCTCATGCAGTCACAGTTTATGGTGTTAAGTTCAAAGTTAGAGTTCTCCCTCTAGTCTGGTGTATATTACTCTATTAGCTAGGCTCCACCTCTAGCTAGGCTCCACCTCTAGCTAGGCTCCACCTCTAGCTAGGCTCCACCTCTAACTAGGCTCCACCTCTAGCTAGGCTCCACCTCTCTCACAGCATGCACTGCGCTGTCATCCAATGCCCTTCCGTCCCATCAATCCAGGAATGTACAAGCCCTATTTATTACACACTGACATCAGACACTCTACCCCTAACCTCACCCAGGGTGAACACTCTAAGACTAAGACACTAGCAATGCTTAAAAAAAATACAAAATATTTCTATGGAGCAAGAAAGATGTAACAAAAACCATCTGCATGCATCCAACATCATTGTCTTATGAGCTCATGATTTATAGTTAAAAATCGTAGTTTAAACACCATATTGAAATAAATATCCTGGCATGGCCTACTGCACTGCAGCCCTTGATCGGAAGCTTATTTAACATACAAACCTCTAGGTACACAATAACTGAAATTAATCTACTGAGGTTTATTATTACTTAATGAGAAGATTGAGCATCAATATTATGGTGTGAGTTCAAAGTCAGACATCAGTTGTTCTTGAGGAACCGAATCCCCTGGCAGTTTTATTAAAGTCCTTCCCTTCGCCATCCTGATTTTTGCGGTTCATCAGCCCCCTCTGGAACACAGCTGACATCTTCACCAGCGGCTTCTCTGCAGCCTCCTTTTATCTTTCTGGCATCGAACCGCGGACTGTAGAGGATGAGCGGCAGGCGTTTGGCAAAAGAGGGGACAACCTCCATCGCATTTTCTTTCTGTTGATTGTCTTTTTGTGTCTTATCGTTCTGATCTCTCCGGTCTTTCTTCTTGTCGGAAGAATCAGGAGCTTTGCTAGCTTTGATCTGCTGCATGATTGCTTCCTTGGTGGAGAACATCTGGAAGAGCATGGCGTCCCACATCTTCATTGCTCTGGGCGCCTCCGACTCCTTCAGCACTTCCTTGCCCTTCCTAGAGTGGTCTTTGACCTCTGCTGAAGAAGCTTGACTACATTTGGCCTGGTCAGTGTTCTTACTGTCATTGGCGCCATCCTTACTGCCAGATTCAGGCTCTGGGAACTGAGGCTCCTCTGGCTCAACGACCATGTGTTTTTTGAGGCGCGACCAGCCACTGAACTTGGCCTTCAGACTTTTAGGTTTCATTGCATTCAGTGCAGCCTTAGCAGGGCTAGGTTTAGCGGTTGGAGCCCGGGGCTTGTCTACCTTGTCTACATTGTCAACAGTCGAAGATGCAGTTGATGTCGTAGGCTTCGTAGAGGGTGTCTCTTGAGGTGTGGCTGCTTTCCCTTGTGCACCTGATGCATTGGCTTCCACAACTTCCATTGTGTCTCTCTGTGTCTGTCCATTCTTTGTCTGAGATTCTGTTTCTATCTGTCCATTCTTTGGCTGAGATGGGGTTATGTCTTTCTGTTGAATCTTTGGCCGCGATTCCATTTCTGTCTGTCCAATCTTTGGCCGCGACTCCTTGTCTCTCTGTCCAGTCTTTGGCTGAGATGGCGATGACGTTCCTCTGTTTGTGGACGGGGCTTTTACAGAGGCTGAGGCCTGAGGCAGAGAGGCAGGAGTGGAAGAGTCAATCACTTTGGTAACGGCAGGTCGTTCTATCACAGTGTCTACGGCAGGGTTTGGGGACGACATACGTTCTATGGCAGGCTTTGTGGAAGCCTGTTTATTTGTGGCAGTGGTGTTAGTCGATTTAGGCTCTGGTGACAGTTTTAGGGAGGCAAAAGCTTCAACGCCAGGCTTCGTCAAGGGTTTAGCTTCAGTAGAAGGGTTTAACCACGGTCTAGTGGGACTAAAGCAGTTTCTTGACGCCATAAGCTTTGCAGAAGGTCCAGCTTCAACAGTAGGGCTGAAGCCGGATCTACTTTCTGTAGTAGGATTTGTGGAAGGTTGTACATTAATGGTAGGCATGTTAGCTGGTTTAGGTTCTTGTGCAGGTTTTGTGAAGTCTCTAGTTTCCGTATTATTCTGTGTAAAGGGTTTAGCTTCGATAAAAGGGCTTAAGGCGGGTTCTCTTTCTATAGGCTTTGGGGAAGTTTGTATATTAACGGTAGGCTTGTTAGCCGGGTTAGGCTCTGGGGATGACTTAGCAAAGACTCTAGTTGCCATATTATGCTGTGTAAAGGGTTTTGCTTCAACAGTAGGGCTGAAGCAGGGTCTAGTTTCTGTGGTGGTTGTCGTCGAAGGCTGTACATTTACGGTAGGCTTATTAGTTGCGAGGCCAGGTTCTGTAACAGCTTTAGGTTCCGTAGGTGCTGTTGACCATGGTCTGTTATGTCTACGTGACGGTGTAGAAGGTAGGACCTTTACGGTGGGTTTGTTAGGAAGCTCTGATACAGGTTTTGGGGAGGCGCTAGCTTCTATGACAGGCTTCATAGAGGGTTTAGTTTCTAAAGCAGGAGTCGAGGGAGGTCTGGCCTCTATTATGGGAGGTGTGGGAGGTTGTATAACTATAGCAGGCCTGTTAGTAAGTGTGACCGGTTTTGGGGAGGAACTAGTGTCGTAAACAGGCTTTGTAAAATGCTTAGCTTGTAAAGTAGGGCTTAATGGGGATCTCATTTCTGTCGAAGGTTGTGCACGTATGATAGGTGTGTTAGTACGTGTAGGCTCTGGGGACGGTTTCAGCGAAGCCCCATTTGCTACAGTAGGGTTTGTAAACGGTTTACCTTCGTTCGTAGAGCTGGCTGAGAATCTTGTTTCAGTGGTGGACTTGGTGGAAGGTTTTTCATCAATGGTAGGCTTTGTAGATTGTCTGCGTTCAGTTGCTTTGTGGGAGTTGGTTTCTACAAAATGCTTCATGGTATGGTTTGCATAGTACTGCATGACACTGTGCAGAATATTTTCTGGGGTAGACTTGCCAGGTAGTACAGGTTCTATTGAAGGCTTGTTGGGGATTTGGGTTGCTATTGTAGGCGTGCTAGGGAATTTAGTTTCAATGGTAGGTGTGTTGGGGAGTTGGGCTACTATGCTAGGTGTGCTAGGGAGTTGGGCTACTATGCTAGGTGTGCTAGGGAGTTGGGCTACAATGCTAGGTGCGCTAGGGAGTTGGGCTACAATGCTAGGTGCGCTAGGGAGTTGGGCTACAATGCTAGGTGTGCTAGGGAGTTGGGTTACTATGCTAGGTGCGCTAGGGAGTTGGGTTACTATGCTAGGTGCACTAGGGAGTTGGGTTACTATGCTAGGTGCGCTAGGGAGTTGGGTTACTATGCTAGGTGCACTAGGGAGTTGGGTTACTATGCTAGGTGCACTAGGGAGTTGGGCTACTATGATAGGTGGGCTGGGAAGTTGTTCTATTTTGGTAGGTGGGCTAGGAAGTTTAGTTCCAATGGTAGGTGTGCTTGATTGTTGGTTTTCTACAGTAGGTTTGGTGGGGACTTGGGTTCCTGTTTCAATGGTAGGTCTTTCAATGGTAGGTGTATGAGGGAGTTGAGTTCCTATGGTTGGCACACCAGGCTTGCTAGGTAGTTTGGTGTCTATGGTAGGCTTGCCTGGTCGTATAGCTGCTGCAGTAGGTTGGCTGGGCAGTTGGCTTCCTATGTCAGGGTTGTTGGGGACTTGGGCTCCTGTGACAGTTTTGCTGGGCAGTTTAGTGTCTGTGCTAATATTAGCCTTGACAAGAAGACGCATGACTGTGGAATCTGCCTCTGACTTTCCACTGTGTTGGGGAATATTTGCTACAGTTGGATTTTGTGAAACTTCAGCATTTGGAATGCTGAAAGGAAACGGGGACTTTGACACAACATTCCTACATATCGGGAATGAAGGAGTTTCATTTAGCTGAGCCTCTATTTGAAATGGAGCTGGTCTGGTTGTGTGTACCACACCTGCTTCAGATGCTGGTCTTGGAGCCTCAGAATGAGAGGCCTTTGGTGTGGGGTCTTCACTGGTGGCTGGGGGCAAGAGTTAGCTGTCCCAAGGCCAATGGATGTTCAGGTTTTGTTATGTCCACAGTAGGTGTTATATCAGTTTGTATTGCATTAGCAGGTGCTTCAGATTTATTAACTTCTGATGCATTGGGTTTAGATATGGCTACCTTATCTGTTGGTGTCTGAGAACAGCCAGTTGCAGGTGAAGGTGCTGGAACAGTAGAATGCTTCCCTGGCAAGGTATGTTTTTGTTGTTCACTGTTGGGAGTGTTTGATTCTGTGAGGGATGTTTCAGGCTTAGAGATAAAAGGAGGACGAGGCCCATTTGGTAATCCATTAGTCTGTGCAGTGGATGGTGATGGTGTTGATTCATTAACTTTAGGTCCAGAAGAACCATAGTATGTCCGGATCCCACCATAGGCAACATACTCAGCCGGAGTCAGTCCGTAATATGTCGACAGGGCTTTAGGTTTTTGGGATGTAGGGGTCCTTTGATGCTCTATCAATGGTGCTAGAACTTTACGTAAGCCAATTATAGGAGAGTCTGGGTATCTAAGGGTCAATGGAGATTGAGGTGATGAAATCATTGGCGTTCGCACAGTGTTTGCAGGTGCTTGTGGTGCTGAAATCATCGGTGCAGTTTGTCCGTTTGGAGGTGGTTGTGCTGAGATCATTGGCACAGTGGGATCCATTTGGTGATCCAGCTGATTCTGGTGGTTCAGTGGCTGTTGAGCGAGTTTTGGCTGCACTAGTAACAGGCTTTGATTGGGGAGATTTGACTCTACTGGTAAGTGGCATTGCTGGGGTAAATTTAGCTCTACTGTTAACTGGCATTGATGGGGGAGATTTAGCTCTACTGTTAACTGGCATTGATGGGGGAGATTTGACTCTGCTGGCAACAGGTATTGCTAGGGGAGTTTGGGCTGCACTGGTAACAGTCATCGCCGGGGGAGATTTAACTCTACTCGTAACAGGCATGGGTGACTTGTGTCTCTGTGTGTTTACGACTGAGCCATGTACATCTCGGTAGGAGCTGAAGGCACGAGATATATTAGTCACAGATCCTAGCGTAGTAGCTGTATCTTGCACCTCCTTGTGTCTGTGTGTCTCTTTGTTTATAACCAAGACATGTACGTCTTGATAGGAGCTGAATGCAGAAGACATCTCAGCCGTAGACCCTTCCATGTTGGTTGTTATTCCATTCGTATGAGTTGTACTTCTATCAACACTGGTCAGACCTTGTAAATGTTTGTCTGAGTTAGATCCTATTGGTTTCGGTGGTTCTGCTGCGGCTGAGGGAGTATTGCTTGTAGTGGTAACAGGTATTGCTGGGGGAGATTTGACTCTACTGTTAACAGGTGTTATTAAGGGTGTTTGGGCTGTACTGGTTATATGTATTGCCGGGGGAGATTTGACTCTACTGTTAACAGGTATTGCTGAGGGTGTTTGGGCTGTACTGGTTATATGTATTGCTGGGGGAGATTTGACTCTACTGTTAACAGGTATTGCTGAGGGTGTTTGGGCTGTACTGGTAATAGTAATTGGTGACTTGAATCTCTGTGTGTTTATGACTGAGACATGTACATCCTGAGAGGAGCTGAACACAGAAGATAAATTAGCCATAGAACCTCCTATGGTAGTGGGGAATGTATCTCTAGCTGAGGGAGATCCAATTGGTTTTAGTTGTTTGGTTGCTGCTGAGGGAGTACTGGTAACAGTCATTGGTGACTTGGATTTCTCTGTCTCCGTGGTTACGACCGAGGCATGCACATCCCCAGAGGAGAAGAAGACTGGACTTGCAGCGAACAAGAGTGGATTGGCTTTCGATATCTCGAAAACAGGTGTCAGTCTTCCCCTTGAAGGGTGGTGTGAGGGTGTTTTCGGTCTTCCAGAAGGGGTCTTTGCCACCGCAACTTTATATGGGATTGCCGGCTCACTTTGGTGACAAGTCATTGGTGATTTGTCCCTGTGTATAGTGGATAACGATGCTCCTTGATACAATATATTTACTCCTGTTATGTCTGGAAGTGCAGGCTTGGAGATTTCGTAAAATGTTGCCTTGGAAGTGTAAAACCTAGTTTGTTGGACGACGTCAGACTGTTTGACTTTGCTGGAATCAGCTTGAGTTATTTGCGTGCTGACCGTCTCAGAAGCCACATTGCTCATAATGTGATCATCAGTGCCAAGGTTATTAGTGACCAAAGCTGGCGTGTGCTTTGGAGCCTCATCCTTTGGCTTACTGGGTGTCGTCACCTTCTGAGTGGGGGTAAGAGGTCGTGTCTGAAGGGTTGGAGCTGACACCGGTACTGGAGCAGGAGGTGGGAGCGGAACTTGGACCTGAGCCAGTAACGGAGCCAGACCCGGACCAAGGCTCAGACCACTAGGTGCTGGTGGGGAAAGAGTCATAACATGAGTTGATATCTTAGTGGAACCGGGAACTTGGGGAGCTGATTGTATAATATGGGTTGATATCTTAGCGGGACCGGGAGCTTGGGGAGCTGATTGTATAATATGGGTTGATATCTTAGTGGGACCGGGAGCTTGGGGAGCTGATTGTATAATATGGGTTGATATCTTAACGGGACCTGGAGCTGGGGGAGCTGATTGTATAATATGGGTTGATATCTTAGTGGGACCGGGAGCTGGGGGAGCTGATTGTGGGACACTGGGGACTGGGTCTGGAGCTACAGTAGCCATGGCCACCGACCCATACGAATTCAGTGCTACAGATGAATACAAGTCATACTGGTAAGCTGCTGGGCCTTGTGAGAACTCAGGTACGGGTGGGGGTGGCGGAGGTGAGGGTGGCGGAGGTGAGGGTGGCGTTGTGCTTTCTCTGTCATCATCGTCAAACATAAAGGAGGAGCACTCATAGAGGGGTGCCACCAGGTCCTCTGATGTCAGGATGGGAGCTGTGTAGTCCTTTGGGGGGAAGACCCCTGTCTGGCCGTAAGGACTGCTACCATATGGACGACTGGGGGGGAACGAGAACGTAGAGGGGGGGTGTTGATCATACAGAGGCCTAATGGGGGAAACGCAGTCCGGTGACCGTGGCGGAGTCGAGTGGGTGTCGCTGTGTTCGAGGTCCGAGGCTTCATGTACGGGGGACAGACAGGAACGGAAGGGGATGGGGGTCTGAGAGGGTCGGGCCTTCTTCTTGGCACTCTTCTTGATGAGTTTCTGCAGCCGGGCATTGGCCTTGTCTGGTTTGGGCAGCAGGGGAGGGGGAGGCTGGGAAGGGTCGGGGAGGTCCGGCTGGAGTCCATTGCAGTAACTGACTGCCATCAGCGTTTCATTTCAACCCCTGAAAAGACAAAACAAAGACAAAACATCAAGCGTCAAGAATTGAATTGCAAAATTATATTATATTTGACATAAATCTATTCAAACTTTAACCCACATCTCTATTTTTGTGAGCCTCCATTAAGACTAAATGCATTACAAAACTGAAAACATTTGAGAAAAACTGTTCTAGTTCTAGTGTGTAACTGTAATGAATACAAATGAATCATTGACGTCCCTCTTCTCTTTCCGTTTGTTTTTCAGTCGGACATTGCCTTGGGGAATTGTGAAGAACACACTTTGGATTGGGATTACTGCGATGATCACTTCACATCATATTTATCATTCATTCATTCTTTTGCATTCAACCATTAGCCGACATATTCCTCCTAAAGCAACATTTAGATCAACATTTCTGAAGCCTATGCAGTATGTTATGTGTACCAGTTGATTTTCTCCATAGCAACACACTGCCAACCTGGTATAAAACTATTCACAAACGGTCAGAAATATCAAATTACGCAAAAAATATTAACGTTTGTACTCTTCAATCTTATCCATTATGTCTTTTTTTGTGAATAATGTGCTTTCATTTACTATTTGTTCACTTTAAACAAAAAAAATGAAATAAAGTAAACTAATGAGGTAAATGTACGATTGTGTGATATACCGTATTAACAGTATTTACAGTACATTTCTGTGGTTCTATCAATCTCTATGTTGTCTCCAATAGTAGGTGATGTCATGGTGTGTACTGATCCTGTGGTCTGTGCATGGTGTTTCAGTAATGTGGGCCAGCCCCCCTCACAGCTGTCCTGCTCTTTATTTAACCCCTGCTAATAGCTCTGTGAAAACTGCTTTAGAGCGATATGGCATCCCATGACAACCGGCTCGTTAACAGGTTTTTAAAATACAATCTTAAAGGGCTTCGGGTATCCTGGAGGTACTGGGTAGCTTTATAAAACCTCAATAGTTGAAATCGACAATAACGTCCCTTTGTCTCTACTTTAAAAGGATCATAATACATGAGGCAAGTATAAACATGTCTCCATAGAAAGTTTATATATTTAGGAAGAAACCTTGGCAGGTGTTCCAAGAGAATATTGTTACCCAATATGGCTTGTTTATGCGGTTCATACTGGTTGAAAATAATCATATTACATAACGGAAATCATAACACAATCCAATCTTCATTTTAAAATCAAGGTTTTGGTGGTTCAATCAGTTTGGGAACAACAATTGATGGTGATTGTACTCTTCACACTGGATCAGGCACACTAATCTGGATCAAACACGCTAATCTGGATCAATCACTCTAATCCGGATCAACCACACTAATCTGGATCAACCACGCTAATCTGGATCAGGCACACTAATTTGGATCAACCACACTAATCTGGATCAACCACACTAATCTGGATCAACCACTCTAATCCGGATCAACCGCAATAATCTGGATCAACCATGCTAATCTGGATCAACCACATTAATCTGGATCAACCATGCTAATCTGGATCAGGCACACTGATCTGGATCAACCACGCTAATCTGGATCAACCACTCTAATCCAGATCAACCACACTAATCTGGATCAACCATGCTAATCTGGATCAACCACACTAATCTGGATCAACCATGCTAATCTGGATCAACCACACTAATCTGGATCAACCATGCTAATCTGGATCAGGCACGCTAATCTGGATCAACCACGCTAATCTGGATCAACCACACTAATCTGGATCGACCATGCTAATCTGGATCAGGCACACTGATCTGGATCAACCACGCTAATCTGGATCAACCACTCTAATCTGGATCAACCACACTAATCTGGATCAACCATGCTAATCTGGATCAGGCACGGGCACAGATAGAGTCCTAGTGGTGCTGATATAGCTAACTAGCTGATTCATCTAGCCTACATTAGAGATGATCAGCTGATATAGCTAACTAGCTGATTCCTCTAGCCTACATTAGAGATGATCAGCTGATATAGCCTACCCACCCCAGGAGTGGTTGTAGCAAAGAAGTAGCTCCCTTTCATTTGTGGTTCTAGCTTGCTTAGTCATTTTTTTTTTTGCAGAAAATAAAGGCCTATGTTAAACAAATAACTGTGAATTCACTTTGAGCACCTGCCCCATCAAATATCTGTGCAACCAGTGTCCTGCAGTGGAGGCTCTTCAGAGGAGGAAGGGGAGGACCATCCTACTCAGTGAATTTCAGAAGAAAAAAATGGTTTAAAAAAAAGTATCCTACATTCCCCTTGCCTTATTCCACTTCATGTAGTATTACAGCCTGAATTCATAATTGATTAAAAAAAAAAATTTTTCTCTCACCCACCTACACAGAATACCCCAATAATGACAAAGTGAAAACATGTTTTTATAAATTTTAGCAAATTTTATTGGAAATGAAATACAGAAATATCTCATTTACATAAGTATTCACACCCCTTTGCTACGACATGCCAAATTGAGCTCAGGTTAAATGAAATAGTTTGGACATGATTTAGAAACACACTTGTCTTTATAAGGTACCACCGTTGACAGGGCATGTCAGAGCAGAAACTGAAGTCCAAGAAACTGTCTGTAGATCTCAGAGATACAATTGTGATGAGGCGTACACTATCAGTCAAAAGTTTGGACACACCTACTCATTCAAGGGTTTTTCTAAATTTTTACTATTTTCTTACATTGAATAATAATAGTGAAGACATCAAATCTATGAAATAACACATATGGAATGATGTAGTAACCGGAAAAGTGTTAAACAAAATCAAAATACATTTTCTATTTGAGATTCTTCAAATAGCCACCCTTTGCCTTGATGACAGGTTTGCACACTCTTGGCATTCTCTCAACCAGCTTCAAGAGGTAGTCACCTGGATCACATTTCAATTAACAGGTGTGCCTTCTTAAAAGTTAATTTGTGGAATTTATTTCCTTCTTAATGCATTTGAGCCAATCAGTTGTGTTGTGACAAAGTGTGTGTGTGTGTGTGGGGGGGGGGGGGGTATATGGAAGATAGCCCTATTTGGTAATAGACCAAGTCCAAATTATGGCAAGAACAGCTCAAATAAGCAAAGAGAAACAACAAAATACTGAACTTTTAAAGTTTCTTCAAGTGCAGTCTCAAAAACCATCAAGCGCTATGATGAAACTGGCTCTCATGAGGACCGCCACAGGAATGGAAGACCCAGAGTTACCTCTGCTGCAGAGGATAAGTTCATTAGAGTTACCAGCCTCAGAAATTGCAGCCCAAATAAATGCTTCACTGAGTTCAAGTCACAGACACATCTCAACATCAACTGTTCAGAGGGGACTGTGTGAATCTGGCCTTCATAGTCGGATTGCTGCAAAGAAACCACTACTAAAGGACACCAATAAGAAGAAGAGACCTGCTTGGGCCAAGAAACACGAGCAATAGACATTAGACCAGTGGAAATGTGTCATTTGGTCTGGAGTTTAAATGTGTCATTTGGTCTGGAGACAGTGACACTGTCTATGATTTATTTAGAATTCAAGGCACACTTAACCAGCATGGCTACCACAGCATTCTGCAGCAATACGCCATCCCATCAGGTTTGGGCTTAGTGGGACTATGATTTGTTTTTCAACAGGACAATGACCCAACACACTTCCAGGCTGTGTAAGGGCTATTTTACCAAGAAGGAGAGTGATGGAGTGCTGCATCAGATGACCTGGCCTCCACAATCCCCCGACCTCAACCCAATTGAGATGGTTTGGGATGAGTCGGACCGCAGAGTGAAGGAAAAGCAGCCAACAAGTGCTCAGCATATGTGGGAACTTCTTCAAGACTGTTGAAAAAGCATTCCAGGTGAAGCTGGTTGAGAGAATGCCAAGAGTGTGCAAAGCTGTCATCAAGGCAAAGAGTGGCTATTTGAAGAATCTCAAATATAAATATATTTTGATTTGTTTAACACTTTTTTGGGTACTACATGATTCCATATGTGTTATTTCATAGTTCTGATGTCTTCACTATTAATCTACAATGTAGAAAATAGTAAAAATAAAGAAAACCCCTTGAATGAGTAGGTGTATCCAAACTTTGACTGGTACTGTATATCTGGGGAAGGGTATAAAACAATTTCTAGAGTGTTGAAAGTTTCCAAGAGCCCAGTGGTCTCCATCGTTGGGAAATAGAAAAAATATGGAACTACCCAGACTGCCTAGAGCTGGCTGTCCGACCAAATTGAGCAACCGGGCAAGAAGGACCTTGGTCAGGGAGGTGACCAAGAACCCAATGACCACTCTGACAGAACTACAGAGTTCCTTGGCTGAGATGGGAGAACCTGCCAGAAGGACAACAGTCTCTACAGCACTTCACCAATCTGGGCTTTATGGGAGAGTGGCCAGACAAAAGCCACTTCAGAGAAAAAGGCACAGCATGCCTGGAGTTTGCAAAAAGGCACGTGAAAGACTCTGAGAGCATACCCAAGACGACTCGAAGCTGTATTCGCCGCCAAAGGTGCTTCTACAAAGTATTGACTCAGGGGTGTGAATTCTTATGTAAATGAGATATTGCTGCATTTCATTATTAATACAAAAAAAAATCTAAAAACATGTTTTCACTTTGTCATTATGGGGTAATTGTGTGTCGATGGGTGAGAAAAATATATTTTGAATCAATTTGGAATTCAGGCTGTAACACAACAAAATGTGGAATACGTCAAGGGGTATGAGTACTTTCTGAATGCGCTGTATGTTAGCTATCTGGCTAAGGCTATCCAACACTGCAACTCAAGGTACGTTTTCAGCTTCTAAACTGCTTGTTGTGTACACTGTAATGTGTGATTGTACACATGGATTGGATTGTGGGGTTACTAACACGTTAGTCCTAGTTTGTTGACTATAACGTTACTATAGTGACAATGATGTAGGCTGTTAGCGGTATGAAGGTTTGGCTTGGAGAGGTGTTTGCGCCTGGTCACAGACAGCTGTTGTGTTGTGCACTGAAGTCCACAAGCGAAGGGAAAAGGT